TCCTGGACATTAATGCCCTCTCTGAGAAGCAGGTGGCAAAGCTTTTCTCCCATTCTGTTAGCTTTGTTCATGCTCTTCATTTTAATGTGAAGAAGCTTTTTAATTTGATGTCATCCCATTTATTGATTTTTTATTTTACTTCTTGTACTTTAGGAATCTTGTTAAGGAAGTCAGTGCCTGAGCTGATACGTTGTATTGTGGGACCTACATTTTCTTCTAGTATGTGCAAGGTTTATGGAATAACTTCCAGGTTTTTGAAACCCTTTGAATTGATTTTTGTGCAGGGTGAGAGATAGGGGTTTAATTTCATTCAACAACAGATGGATTTCCAGTTTTCAAGCACCGTGTATTAAAAGGCTATCTTTTCTCCAGTGTATGTTTGTGGCTCCTTTGTCCAGTAGGAGATAACTATATTCATGTGTATTTGTCTCTATGTTTTCTATTCTATTCCATGGATCATCATGTCTGTTTGGGTGCCAGTACTATGCCGTTTTTGTTTTTATAGCTCTGTAGTATATTTGAGGATCTGTTATTTTCATGCCTTCTGCTTTGCTTTCCTTGATAAGGACTGCTTTGACTTTTCTGTGTCTCTTGTTTATTCAAATGAATTTCTTAACTGCCCTATTTCTATGAAGAATGTCATTGGAGTTTTGATGGGAATTACATTGAATCTGCATAGTGCATTTGATAGTATGACCATTTTGACAATATTAATTGTCTATCCAAGAACATGGGAGATCTTTCCATCATCTAAAATCTTCTTCAATTTCTTTTTTAGTGTTCTATAGTTTTCATTATAGAAGTCCTTCCCTCATTTGTTTGATTGGTTCCTAAGTATTTAATTTTTTGATGCTATTGTGAATAGGATAGTTTTTCTAATTTATTTTTTAGCAGATTCATCATTGGACCACAGGATGCGATTGATTTATGGCTGTGGATTTTGTATCCTGCTACTTTATTGCATTTATTTATTAGGTCTAGAATTCTACTGGGGGATTTGGGGTGTCTTAATATAGGATCATGTCATTGGCAAACAGAGATAGTTGGAGCTCTTCTTTTCCTATTTATATCCATTTATTTCCCTTTTCTTGCCTAATTGCTCTGCCTAGAATTTCAAGGACTATGATGAATAGAAGTAGTGAAAATGTGATGAAAAATTCTGCTGTACATGGGTAATAATGAATGTAATGCATTCTATTATTGTCATGTATTTTTTTTAAAAAAAAGAAATGGTGAAAATGGGCATCCTTCTCTTGTTCCTGTTTTTGGAGGAAATGCTTTCAATTTGACTTTCTTCTGAATAATATTGGCCTTGGGGTTGTCAAATATAGCCCTTACAATGTTGAGGTAAGTTCCTTTTATCCCTAGTTTTTCTAGTGTTTTAAATATGAATGGATGCTGTACTTTGTCAAAAGCATTTTCTTTATTGATGAGCTAGTTACATGATTTTTTTTCTCTTTAAGTCTATTTATGTGATGAATTACATTTATTGATATGTATATTGAAGGAAACTTGCATACAAAAACAGATTAAAAAGATAGGATACCATGATCAAGTGATTGAATGAAACTCACTTGATCATGGTATCCTATCTTTTTAATCTGTTTTGTATGCAATTTGCCAGTATTTTGTTTTGAATATTTGTATCTGTGTTCGTCAAGGATATTGGTTTAAAGTTTTCTTTCTTTGATATCTTTGCCTGGTTTTGGTATCATGATGATACTAACTTTATAGAATCAGTTTGGAAGAATTCCACTTTTTCTATTTCATGGAATAATTTGCAGATTGATATTAGTTCCTCTGTAGAGGTGTGGTAGAACTTGGCTGAGATTCTTTCTGGTCCTGGGTTTTTCTTTGATGGAAGTATTTTGATTATTGCTTCAATTGTATTACATGAAATTGATCTGGTTAAGTTTTCTATATCCCCTGGTTCAATTTGGGTTAGCCATGTGTCTCTAGAAATTTGTCCATATCTTCAGATTTTCTAGCTTATTGAGTTTACATTTTTAAAATTGTTTCTAATGATCCTCTGGATTTCAATAGTATCTGTGGTGTTATTTACTTTTTTTATCTCGTATTTTGATGATTTGAGAATTTTTCCTCTTTCTTTTGGTTAGTTTGGCTAAGGGTTTATGAATTTTGTTTATCTTTTCAAAAATCTAACTTTTTGTTTTGTTGATCCTTTGTCTTGCTTTTTAAGTCTCAATTTTATTGGTTTGGCTCTGATTTTAATTATTTCTTGTCTTCTACTGAATTTGCTGTTGGTTTGTTCTTTCTCTAGGGCCTTGGGGTGTAACATAAAATTATTTATTTGGTTTCTGTTTATTCTTTTAATGTAAGATTTCAATGCTATGAATTTTCTTCTCATCGGTAGTACATTATTGTTCATTGTGCCATTAAGCACGTTACAGAGTTAGCAACATTATGCAGTTTATCCCTCAGTTATATACTAGAGTTGCAATGTGTAATATTAGGAGCTTTGGGTAGGTCTCAAGGAATTGCCTTCCTTCTGTCATAGAAATTTTGATCTGTTGTATCACTATTCTCATTTATTTCTAAATAGTTTTTTTGTTTTATTTCTTCTGCTATCCATTTATCATTCAAATATGTATTATTTACTCTCTAAGAGTTAGTGTGGTTTCTGTTTTTTAATCATATTCATTCCATTATAATCTGATAGAATGCAATGTATTATCTATTTTCTTTTTGTATTTGCCAATATTTTCTTTGTGATCTAAAATATGGCCCATTTTAGAAAATATTCCATGTAGTGATAAGAAGAAAATATATTCAGTTATTGATGGATGCAATATTCTACAGATATTTGTTAAGTCCATATTATAATTTGTATTTTTCAGTTCTATAGACTCTTTAATTAGTTTTTGTTTGGATGATCTATCCAATGGTGACAGAGGCATGTTAAATTCACCCAGTATAATTGTGTTGTTGTCTTAGATTATTGATATCAATAAAATCTGATATATGTAAATGCTCTGTCATTTGGAGCATAAATATTTATGATTGCTTTGTCTTATTGATACCCTTAAGTGGTATGAAATGATCTTCTTTGTCACTTGTGATTAATTTTGGCTCAAAATCTACTTTATATGTTATGAGAATAGTTATCCCTGCTTGTTTAAGAGATCCACATGAATGATCTGTATTTTCTCATGTTTCACCTTCAGTTTGCTGTTGTCTTTGTTTTTGAGGTGAATTTCTAACAAACAGCATATTGTTAGGTCATGTTTTTTAATCTGATCTGCCAATTGATTTCTTTTGTTTGAATAGTTTAGACTGTTTATATTCAGTGTTACTATTGGGAAATGATTTTTTTTTATTTCCTGCCATTTTGATTTCTTTCTAGTGTTTAAATTGAACTTGATTTTCCTTTAATTGATTATTATTCTGGTGTAATTCCTTGCTATGCTGGTTTTCATTTTTATTTCTTCTTCTTGAAATACTTTATTGAGTATGTTTTGTAGTCCAGGCTTTCTAGTTACAAATTCTTTTTACTTTTATTAATCATGGAAAGTTTTTATTTTCTCTTCAAATCTGAAGTTAGTTTTGCTGGGAAATAGTGCTCTTGGTTGGCACCCATTTTAATTCATAGCTTGGTATATATTACTAAGCCCTCTGGCCTTCAGGTTCTGGGATAACAAATCAGTTGAAATCTGGCTTCATTTATTTCTAAATTTGACCAGCCATTTTTCTCTTGCAGCTTTTAAGATTATACCCTTATTCTGTATGTTGGCCATTTTTTTTAATGCCCAGACTGGAACTTCATTTTTTAAAATTTTTAATCAATTAATTAATTTATTTCATACATGACAATAGTGGAATGCATTACATTCATAATTATCCATTCACAGCACAATTTTTCATAACTCTGTATGTTCATGGCAAATTATGCCATTATACATGAGCTCTCTTAATAATGTGTCTTGGATTGGATCTATTGTGGTTTTGTATATTTGGAGTCCTATATGCTTCCTGTATTTTAATTTCCATTTCATTCTTAAGGTCTGAGAAATTTTCTGATGTTATTTTATTGAAAATATCATTCATTCTGTTAGTTTGTATTTCATAGCCTTCATCTATCCCAATGAGTCCTAAATTTGGCCTTTTAATGTTATCCCAGACTTCTTGAATATTCTGTTCATGGTCTCTTAGCCTTTTCTATGCTCAACTTTAATTTCAAGATTATATACTTTATCTTCAAGGCCTGAAAATCTATCTTCAAAGTGGTATAATATATTGTTGATTATTTGAATTTTTAATTTGATTTATTGGTTCCTTCATTTCAAGGATTTCTGGGTTTTTTTTCATAATCTCTATTTATTCAAGTGATGTTCACTTCCTGTTTTTTTTTTTCCTCTGATTTCATTCCTTATGACTTTCTGTAGCTCTCAAACAGTTTTACAATGAACTTTCTAAAGTCTTTTTCTGGCATTTACTCCACTGTGGTATCAATGGAGTCTGTTGTTGAAGCATTATGTGCTATTTGGGATGGTTTGATCCTTTGTTTTTGTATATTGATTTTATGTCTACCCATCAGTTGGTATAGTTCTGGCTTCTTTTAAGTGAAGGACTACCATGTGAGATTCTTTTTCTTAAAAGCCCTGGGTTGGTAGAATATCCCAGATAATAGTATTATAATTCAATATATGACCTCTGGCTCATCCCAATATTAGCACCACTTTAATAGGGCTATTTACTATAATCACTTCTGAGCCAAGCTCCATGCTATTCAAACTGATAAGTAACAAAAACTTGTTGCAATTGTTCTCTGTGGTTTCTAAAATTCAGGTATAAACCTATAATAAAGTTCTGGAATAAGCCAAAAAAATTAGTTGGTAAACTTAGTAAACTTATTATTTCCTTATTAAGTGGGATAAAAGCAGGAGAAGAAGAAAGATTGGGCAAATTGGTGAGAGGAAAATTGGGGGTGTAGCTATAAAAGGATAATTTACACCAAGATAGAAAGGATAGATATATGAATAATGGTATTTGAGGTAATAGACAATATTGCAAGAGAACAAATAGGAGGTAAGAGAAGAGGTATAAACTAGAGCTATGGTAACAAAGATAGGAAGATTGATTCCAATTAATGATTTAAAACATTAAATGAAGTACATATAGATGTGTTGGAGGTACACTGTTGACTATTGGGTTAACAATTCCCACTCTACTTAAGGAATTATTTATCTGATCAAAGTTGACATTAAAGTTGTTTATAGTATACCATGTCAAAGTAAAGAAAATTCTTGTTGAATCATGGTTTGGATTTCACTGGAGTTTGGACATTTAGCAGATGTCCATCAGTTTTGCCCTGTAGATCTCTCCTGAGTTGCAGTGGCACAGGAGCCAATTCCCTAGTTGCTATGAACCTCCTACCAGAAGATTCTGGTTTGTCAGCTCAGGGAACTGCAGCTGACTGCTCAGAGGATGGAGTGTTGTGAGCTTGGCTGTTTCTATTGTGCAGAAGTTCAGGATGCAGGCTCTGAGGTGCCCAATGTTTGCTGTGGTTCATTGTGTATCTGTTCCTGGCTACTGGATGCTGCTCAGAGCTTAGAGGGTCTAAGTGCACTTTACAGCACAGATTCCCAACACTTGTTAGATCCCTCTGTTTGTAGCAAGGGGGAGGGAGAGAAGTTTTTAGTGATTTTTGGCTAGTAGTGATCCTTCTAGATATTTCTGGGCAGATTCTTTAGAGGTCCCACTACAGTTACCTGGGAGTGGGATGATGCCATGATGACTTAAGGGGGTGACTGGCTGGCTGAGGGCTCCACAAGATGGCTGCAGATGCCGGACTCAATTTTCTTTCCACAATTTGTTTTTAAGTTGGTTGTGCTGTTTTAAGGACCCTTATGTTGCCATCATGCTTTAGACTTTGCCTTTCCAACAGTTTTTAAGTAGGTGAGCTAAAGAGAATATACACTCCCCACACCTTTCTCTGTTGCCTGTCCCCCTTCTCACCCACAGGTTTGGATTCTGGGTTAGGGCACTTTTGAGTTTGTTTTCTCTGAGTTTGTATCCTATCTTTCAGTCTCTCCAGGTCTCAGACTGTGCACTATTGAGTCTTAGGGTATTTTTTTTTTCATCTCTCAATTCTGCTTTTCCTTTGCTGCCTCTTTTCTGTGTTGTGAAGATATTAGGAGTTACTACCTAGATCAATTCTGTCATCTTCCAAATCATGTTGAGATATTTTAAAAATTCCTTTTAGGACTCAATATTTCTTTCAGATTGTGTTATTTAGTTTTCTTGTATTCATAAATTTTTCTCATTCTCCCCTCTTATTTGCCTCTGGTTTTATTTCATTACATTTAGAACAGATACTTGGAATTATATTGATCTCAAATTTGTAAATAGAGATGCTCCTTTACTTATGATGGGATTCTATCATGATGAAGTCATTGCCAGTTAGAATACTGGAAATGGCAAATGCTTTTATTACACGTAAGCTATGAAATATCATAACTTAAGAGCACAGTACACTCTAGAATATTAGTATTTTACCCTTGTGGTCACATGGCTCACTGGGATATGTAACTCACTGCTTCTACTCAGAAGAATATAATAATGAGGAAATCCACTTTCACCACTCTTATTTAATATAGTACTGGAAGTCTTAGCCAGAGCACTTATGAAGACAAAGAAAGAAAAGTCATCTAGATTGGACAGGATAAAATTCAGTTATTCATATTTGTGGATGACATGCTCCCATACATAGGAAAACCTAAATACTTAGTCATAAAGTTACTAGAAATTAACTTAGAAAAGAATTTAGTTAAGTGTCAGGATAGAAACTCAACATACAAAAAATGGTAGTATTTCTATATAGAAATAATGAACTTGCTGTAAAATTAAGAAATCAATCCAGTTCACAATAGCTACAAAAAATAGGATGTTTAGGAAAAAAGCTTAACCAAGAAAGTAAAAGATTTCTGAAAAACAATATACCACTAATAAAATTATAAAGGACACAACATTGCAAAGAAATATTGTGTTCATGAAAAGAATCATATTATTTAAATGATCATAGTATCCAAAGTAATCCATAGATTCAATGCAATTCTGTTCAAAATTTGATAACTTTCTTCATAGAAGTAAACAGACACTTCTCAAAATAAGCCATAGAAATGGTGAACAAACACTTGAAAAAATGCACAGTTTCAATAATCAACAGAGAAATACAAATCAAAATCAAATGAGATATCATCTTACCACAGTGAAAGTGGCTATTATCAAAGAGACAAGAAATAACAAATGCTGATGAGAATGTGTAAAAAGAACTCTCATACTCTGTTGGTGGAAATATAAATTTGTAAAGACTTTATGAAACATAGTATGGAGATTACTCAAAAGACTAAAAATAGAACTATTCTATAATCTATCAATTCCACTACTAAGTATAGACCCAAATACAATTAAATCTTTATGGCAAAACAAAACACATTACTTGAACCTCCAATTTTTCCAGCAGTATTCACAATAGCCAAAATAAGGAATCAACCCGGATGTCCCTCATTGGATGAGTGGATAAAAAAATGTGCATATTAGCACACATGGATACTACTTATCCATAAAAAGGATGAAATCTTGTCTTGTGCAGCAATGTGCATCTAACTGGAGAATCTTACATTGAGTGAAATAAGCCAGACAGAGAAAGACAAGTATCACATGTTTTCAATCATTTACAGAAACTAGTAGGTCAACATGTAGAAGTATGGAACAGATTGGTGGTCACTAGAGACAGAGAAGGTTAGGAGGAAGGGGACAGAAAGAAATTGAGAGTGACTTTTAAGGACTGAGAAGTGTGCTGTGGAGGAGAGGAAAAGGGAAGCTGAGGGTAGAAGTAAAATGGATGGACATGATCAATGCACAATGATTACATGTATGGAAATATCACAATGAATCCCATTAAAGAGAGAGTATGGTACTACATATCACTAGCCTGGGAAGAACTAAAACTCAAACTTTGAAGTAAAGTTTCTACCGAAGATATAACATTTGTTCACCATCATGAAGTCAAAAATCATAGTTTAAACTTGGGAGGCATAAATTGGGGATTGTTTGTACCTTTTTTGTGACCAATGTGATTTACCTTAGACAGTGTTTTATGTGCACTTGAGAGAAATGTGCTATTGGGTAGAAAGTTTCACACACACACACACACACACACACACACACACACCTCATTTGGAATAGTATTGTTCAATTGTATTCTTTCCGTACTGGTTTTTAGAAATGTGATATTCAAGTTTCCTACTACTATTATATTGCTCTTTGCTCCCTCAGGTCTATCATTGTTTTGTGTATTTCAATACTCTAATATTGAGTGAATATGTATTCATAATTGTTTTATTTTTTCTATTTAATTGACTGTTTTATCATTAGATAAAGAGTTTAATTATGTCTTGTGAAGTTTTTTGAACTTAAACTTTATTTGACATGAGTGTAGTCACTTCTGCATACTTTTGATTAACATTTATTTGGAATGTCTGTATCTTTCCCTTCACTTTTAGGCTGTGTATGTCCTGAAATCTGATATGTCTTTTTTAGACAGCATATTTTGTGAAGTATTGCCTTTCTTTGTTTATTTTTTTCTTCTTTCTTTCTCTCCCCCACCCTCTCCTGATGATTTTGGTTATTGTTATACAGGTGTGTTTTGATTCTTTTCTCTTTGCCTTTTCTATAACTATTGTAAAATTTTTATGGTTCCCGTGGGGTTTTCACTGAATCTTTTCTATTTATATCAGTTGTTTTAAGCTGATAGTTTGTCTTTAAGAATACATAGAGAGTTATTTATACTTTTGTATACTTTTATGTTCCTGTTTAGGGTCTTTATTTAAGCATGAAAAATTCCTTTTAGTACTTCTTGAAAGGCGGGTCTACTGGTGATGAACTCCTTAACTTTATGTTTGTCTGGGGAAGTCTTTATCACTCCTTCATTCTTAAAAGACAGCTTTTACAGGTAAAGTGTTCTTTGCTCTTTTTTTTCTTCTAATACTTTGAATATATCATCTTCCTCTCTTCTCACCTGCAAGATTTCAACTTTGAAATTCACTGAAAGTATTACAGAAGCCTTCTTGCACGTGACAAGTCACTTTTCTCTTGGCTGCTTTCAAAATTCTCCTTCTCTTTGACTTTTGGAAATTTATTATGTATCTTGGTGTAGGGTTATTTTGTTTCACTACATTTGAAGATTAGGGGCTTCGTGAATCAAACTATTCATTGATTTTACAAAATTTGAGTAAATGTCTGTCATTATTTATTTAAATATTCTATCCTCTCTCTTACCTGTTACTCTGTGAAACATACACATATATACTTGGTGGTGTCCAATAAGTCCTATATGCCTTTTCTCACTCTTTTTATTTTTAATTTTTGGTTCTCCTAACTGGATAATTTTAAATGGTCTGTCTTTAGGTTCTTTCTTCCATTTCATTGAATATGCTATTAAAACTCTACTAAATTTTCCAGTTCAGTCATTGTATTTTTAGGCTCCAGGATTTCTGATTCTTCTAAATTTCTACTTCTTTATAATTGTTTAACTTTGCTTATATATTGTTTTCCTTAGTTTGTTTAGTTTTCTTTTTCTACTTTCATAGCTCATGAAGTTTTCTTAAGAGCTTTATTAATTCTTTGCCAAGGACTTTATAAATTTATATCCCTTTGACATTATTGCTGCATCTCTATTAATTTCTTTTAAGAAGTTATATTTCTCTGATTCTTCTTGACTTGTGTAGCCTCACATTGATTCCTAAATATTTGGAGGATTAGTCACTTTATTCATGGTTTATGGACTGGCTTCAGCAGAGAAGAACTTTTTCTAAATAGCGTGTATAAAATTTTGAGAGATGTCACTAATCTCACTAATAAACTAATAATTCTAGTTCATGAATGCATCCACTTCTCTCTTCTTATGCTTTGCCATTCTATAGAGCCATACAATGTGTGATGATCACCCACTACTATTCCCTAGAATGGTGACTGAGGTGCCAACATGATGGGAGCAATCTCTCCTGAAGGAGCAGTCTCAAACCAATAGCCGAGATCTACTGAGATATACATGCTACCTATCAAGTATGTTTTAAGGACACATGATGGAAATGGGACCACATGGGACACCTGTTTCAGTGGCCTATAGGCCATTGACTGGCTGTAACTCTCAATTAGCTAACTAACTGATAGGATCTTTGGAAAGGTTGGCTGACTGGATCCATGTGCCAGTTATTGAGATCTGCAGGGTGGTCATGTGGGTACCTGACCATTTTGTTTGCTCTTAGTAATCCCCAGGTGATCTAGTTCTTCCTGTACCCTCAACATTATGGGTGAGGCTAGATAGAAAATCCTGTTGAAGTAAAATGCTTATTTTGTTCTCTTTCCCATGGAGTAGAACATAGCCTGAGAGGATGTCTCCTAGGCTTAAACTGTGTCAATTTGGAGGAGGGTTGTTCAGGTGATATAAAACTCTTTTTCTTACCCTTTTCAATGTGGCAATTCTGGGAACTTTTCCCCAACAGGTTATAAGGGCTTCCAAACTGAACCCTATTAATAAGCTATTAAAATGATTTCCTATGGATAGTTGTTTAATTGGTATTTCTCTGGGAGAGTGAAAGTTAGATCCACTTGTCATCTTGCTAACATCAGTTCTTTCATTTTTAAAAAATTTGTTTTATAAGAAAATTTCTTGTTTATGTTCAGAACAGCAATTTTGTATTTTGGATAATAGCTCTCCCCTCAGTTTATATCTGTAGTCTTTAAGTTGTGTTGAGGCTGTTCCATGCATGAATGTGTCCAGATACCATCAGCAACTTGGAGACAGAATTTGGAAAATCCTCACTCTGGATCTTTCCCTTTTTACATTTCTACATACCCAGAGCTATCATTTTCTCATACTCATATTTGACTCTTCCCAGGTCAAAGGTGGGAATTTTTTTTTTATGAATACGTATGCCATGCCAATTCCAAATGTCTCCATGGTAAATGTCAGAAAAATTATACTCTCTACAATTATTTTTTTTGAGCCTGATTCCCATCTAAATAAATTTGCCAGCTTTGTTTAATTCTTCAACATTATTGAGTAGCTGCTTTTTGTATCATGCGCAAAGGAGCAGAATTTATGTGTCAAATTTCTTTATTATTTGAAGCAAATATTCAAGTTAATGCTAAAGATTGCAATCTCTACAAATTATTTGTATATTCCCTTATTCATTTTTTTCTCTCTTCACACATACATCATATCTCTTTTTAAAACGTGTTTTAGTTGTAAATAGAAAAAAAAAAAAAAAATATATATATATATATATATATATATATATATATATATATATATATATAATTTTAATGATATTGAGGATTGAACCCAGGGCCTCACACATGTGAGACAAGCACTCTACAACTGAGCCATAGCTCCAGCCCTCTCTTTAAAATCTATAGATGTTTTTTATTATTCATACTAATTATTTTTATCATCTCATTTTCTTGAACAGTTTAATTAGGATTATTTTATTTTGAGGGGATCTCTTTTCTACATGACTTTATCCTAGAGGCTTACTTTCAGTTGGATAACTAGAGAAGTAGAAGACCATCCCCTCTCTTACCCAGCATTGACCGTCCAGCTTCTGGTTTTTACATCTTGCCCCAAGATGTAAACTAATGCCTCCAGATGTAAACCTTATGCCCCCAAATGAGATCATCACTCATGTCCTGTTCTGCTTTAACTTTCTTTCAAATTCTAACACTGGGATATTTAGGCTCAGGTATTACAGTATATTAGGGAATTATACCTACAAATGATTTTTTCTATACTGCTAGATGCATTTTTTTTTCAGTCATACACATGCATATACATACAAACAATATTTTTTTTTATTTTTTCTATGTATAAATTAAAATTTTCTACTATAAATTTCTTTTTTTGTTTTAATTAGTTACACATGACTGTATAATGATCTTAACATATCATACATTTGAATCAGATGGGGTATAATTTCTCATTTTTCTGAGTGTACAGGTTACCAATTCACATAGCAAAATTAGAAATGCTGTAAGAATTTTATTTGTAGTGATTAAAGAATATGTAAAATATCATTAGAGTTAAATAATATGGAATAATATATTTAAATATTATGAAATATATTGACACTCTGCCACCATTTTAAATCATTTTCCACCTCAAATTTCTTTATCATGGTTGTATTTATATCCCTAGCTTCTGTCCTGTCATTTCTTCCCTTCACTCAGACCATAATTTATTAACTGGTAGCCATTCAAGAACCCTGCCCATATTTATATTGTTGGGTCATCTCCCAACCTTAACATATCAGCCTACATACCAAAGAGGTTTTTGTAACTGCCTTATATTAATATTTTTCCTTATACTCCTTCATAAAATTCTCTTTTGAAGTATTTTGTTTTCTTCAAGAAACTTTTAATGATGTGTTTGCCTTTAAGAAGTTTGTTGTGGATTTCTGCTTTTGTTTTTCTCCCTTTCTATAAACTCTAGGTATGGATGAAGTCCATCATCTATACAGTGCTTGACACATAAATACACTGAAATATTTTAATTGCATGAATTGATTAAAATGAAATATTTTACATTGCATCAAAAATAATGTGTTCAAAATTGCAAAATTTGTGCATACTATATTTTAAATTAGTGACTGACATAGTTAATGTTTTATACTAGTTCATTTTACTTAATCAGTAAATTAGCACCAATATACACATCAATGAAAATCAAAATGAATGATTATAAATTGTACTTACTATAAAAAGTATTTAATTGTAAAGTTTTATAGAAACAAAAATGTTTCAAGCTTTTTGTTGTTTCTGTGTTCTTCTACTAAAATACTCTTTTCTTCAATTGTCTTTATTTTAGTATCCAGATGCTATAAGTTTGGAGGGATTTTCAGTTATTATAGCTCAGCTGCTTGGATTTAATATAGGATTAACATATGATGACACCAATAATTGTTCTTGCCCAAGAGCTACATGCGTAATGAATCAAGAAGCAGTGTAAGGCTTTTTTTTTCTTACTTAATTTCATATACACATTCATGAGGTTGTTTCTAAGATCTGATGAATGTTTTAAATCTTTCATATTCTATCACAAGTTGGAAAGGTATGTTATACTTGAAGAGAATATCATGTGTAATATTTTTTTCTATGTGGCCTGAGAGTGTGGAAAGTGATATGTACTATTATTAAGATATTTTCACTCAAGGGAATTAGAGGGATAAATTTGAAGTTGATGAAAACTATGGAATATTGTGTAAATACATGATGCTATTGCTTTTTTGTTGTAGTCTTTGTTACTCAAGACAAAGATATCTAACATCACCCTTAGTAATAAAACAGTACTGGCAACTTTGGCTATTATACTGAGGGAAAGAAAAAGAAAGAAAGAAATATCTGATGAAGAACAAACTGTCCTTAATTTGTGATGTTATCTTGCCACCTTGAAATATCAATAGAATCAACTTACAATTAAGACAATAGCAAAATAAAAACTCATTAGGTAAATGGATTTAGAAAATACTGTTTATATCAGCACTAAACAAATTAGATGAATTACTATACAATTGGTATTCTTTGCAGTAAAGTTTTATAAATTTAGTATAGTTTTCATGAATAATTTATATTATATTTAAAGGCACCTGATAAATTCTTGAGAGGTGATAAAGTTAGTAAATAGAGCAATATTTTGCAGAGTATGAGATGGAATTTGTGATTAAAGGAAGGATTTTATATATGGAAGACACTATATACCATCTCTAGACAGGGAGAAATAAATAGAAGACAGAAGCAGCAATAATGTCAGATGCAATAATTAAGAGTAAAATCACAGAGGATGGAAGCTGTAGTGCATAATATAGGGGCTAGTTCTTATTAGGACTGGGTACATTTAATAATTGTGATGGGGATTAGAAGAATAAATGTGTAGAGAGGTATGTAGTTTAATTAATTGCAGGTGTAAAGATGATGGCAGTTTCCTCTGAGTGAAAACTAAGAGCTGGGTATGTAACATCTCTGATGGAAAGTGTGAAACAGTTGTTTTGGAGACTGGAAATTGAAATGCTTTAGGAAACATGCTAGGATTGTTGACCATTTTGAAACCCTCAAATTTGTGATAATAAACAATGTGAATTCAAGCATCCTGGTTGGTTGTTTTGGTTGATTTAATATCAGTTTTTGATTAGTATATTCAGTAAAAAGGGAGTTAGTTTTTTTCCCATATTAAGTCCATGGGATTCAGAAAGAGATCTGTAGTATAAGCTGCTTTCTCCCAAAATAATTGTATTTCAAAAATTATTCCCCCGATCATAGAACTTTGGTTGAGAAATCAACGTATTTTGAGACAAGTGCCCTGGCTTACCTTATTCAAATTATCTTTTAGACCAGAATGTTAATCTAATCTGCAGGAGATGAATTGTTTTACATTTTCTTTCTATTGTATATCAAAATTATGTATACCTAGGGATCAAATATATACATATACTCATGCCCCACATAATGACTGTCCATCAACAATAAACTACATGTACCATAGCAGTCCTATAAGACTGTATCACCTGGTGATGTTGCAGCCATCATAGTTTGGATAAGTACATTTTGTGCTTGAACAATGACCAAAATCACCTATTGATGCATTTCTCAGAATTTGACATATGAATGTAATAATTTTTTCCAACTTTCAATTGGTGTCTTAGTCCATTTTCTGTTGTGAATAACATAGATAGTAAGTTTTACAGAAAAGAAGTTTATTTTAGCTGACAGTGGCCAAGGTTGAGGGGGAACATCCATGGATGGCTCTCCTGAAGGCAAAGTCCTGAGGCCATGCAGGTCACCACATGGCAAGAAACTGGAAGAGAGAGAGAGAGGAGAGAGGAGAGAGGAGAGAGGAGAGAGGAGGGAGGGGGGGAGAGAGAGAGAGAGAGAGAGAGAGAGAGAGAGAGAGAGAGAAAGAAGAAGAAGAAGGAGAAGAAGAAGAAGGAGGAGGAGGAGGAGGAGGAGGAGGAGAAGGAGAAGAAGAAGAAGAAGAAGAAGAAAGGAGGGGAGGGGAGAGGAGAGGAGAGAGAGAGGAGAGAGAAGAGAGAGAGAGAGGAGAGAGAGAGAGAGAGAGAGAGAGAGAGAGAGAGTGTCTCCTTTTTTTTTTTGGTCTCTTGCTTTTCTCAGAAAGCCACCAGTGTTCAATTGAGGTGACTGCACTCTGCTGACTATCTGATTTTAATTCCCTTTCAAAGGCCTTAATTTCTGAATACCATAGTCTGATTATGTTTGCACCTGCTTAATAACTTACAACGGATATTAAAAGGCAAGATGATTTTGTAAGGTACCAAACATATTCAAACCAAAGTAGTTTATAAGAAATGCTTTTGGGGAAAATACTAAAGTTAAGCAATATTGAAATGGAAATTTAATTATGGTGATTTAATCTCTTATAATATATAAATTTTTATATGCATCATTATATGAGTTATATGATTTGTGTATGGATGTAATATTTTATTAGCAAGGTTTTTTTTTTACCTGAGGAATATTATTTCATTTTAGGAGAGCCAGTGGTGTGAAGATATTTAGCAATTGTAGCATGTATGAATATAGGAATTTTATTTCAAATTTTGAGGCTCCATGTCTTCAAGACCTTTCATATTTGCAACCATTATATAAAAATAAACCAGTTTGTGGTAATGGAATTTTGGAATCTAATGAAGAATGTGACTGTGGTAATGAAGAGGTAAGCAATAAATTTGAAGTTTGAGAATAATTTTTACATTTCTGATGAAATATAAAACATGTTAGTAATGGTATACATAGAATGATATATGCAACTATGTCTTCAGTTAATAACAGATATAAAAATGAAGATAAATGTAAATGAATCACTTTCCAACACCACTTGAAATGAGAAGATGTGTATGGTGAAGGCTTGGTTTATCAAAACTGTTGCAAATTATGCCTTTAAATAGGTTTGAATATATAAGAAAAATTAAGTCCTTGTTAGTTGCTATTCAATTCCTAACTCATGTGGCTTTATTCTTTGTTTCTATACAAACATCTGTGAAATTTTATTGTACATTTTTTCCCTATCTTCTGTGGCTGCATGAATTTCTAAGCATTATAATGAGTTGTATTTAATCACTCTCAAACATTCCTGTGATTATGAGTTTTTGAATGGTCAATTTTTTTTCTATTTTTTTCATCATTTGATTATACTTCATCAGTCAGATTTTTAGTGTACATTACTCTCAACAGGTGGGACCGCATATTTAGTCTATTATAAATATCATTGTTCCAAATATTTATCAATTCTCCTCATTTATCTAAAATAAAGTATCTTTATGATTCTTCCCCCACCAGTCTCATGAGTTACTTCCCCTTACAAAAGAAGCTGACTACCATGTTTATATACTATTAAATCCCTATGAGTTCTCTTAATCATCTTCTCCACAAAATGAAACTTCTATGTATGAGTCTGCTTATCTGTGTGTGCATTTTTGCGTGAGTATCAAAGGTTTGCAATTATTATGCATTCCCCAACTCTTATTCTTCTGATAAGCAGTACCACATTCCTCTTGCATTTCCTACACCTAAATATGGTACCCATCTCCCTGCCAATAAATACTGGTTATTTTTAAAGAAGCATAAAATGACACAACCCAATACATGGCTAGATATGCATACTGTGGTTTTCTACAAATACAGACTGTGGGTAGATTGACATTTATAACAGACACTATCAGTGCCCTACCAGCATGTACTGTTGCTGCAGAGTGTTTTGTTACCTGTACCAGAAACTTGGTCCAGTACTGCTTCTTGTGGCCTTAACAGTGTGTATAGCCATTAGCAGAGGAGGCTCAATGCACTTAAGAACTAATGATTGGCCCTCAGACAACCATTATGGTCAGTTGGTGGATAAATGTTCCAAATTACTGTGTCTTGTGAGGAAATTCTCTGAAGAATGTTCTACATCAGCTTTTTTCACACTGTAGCCAGTTGGCTAAACCCAGCTGCCACTTTTTTGTTCTTATTGTTGTTTGGTAGTGAGGTTTTACTAGAATACAAACATGCCCATTTGTTTGCATATTATCTATGGCTGCTTTTGTGCTACTACATAAGTGTGGAAAAGTTGCCGTGCAAATCATATTGTGAACAACTTGGAAATAAGCACTCTTTGGTCCTTTACAGTAAATGTTGTTGATCTCTGCTCTATATCCTCTGTCAGAGTTTCTTGTGGGATTTAGTTTAGTTAGTTTGCTGGAGCAGTAAAGAGTGAGTAACCCATATGTAGTAGTTGCTTCCCTTACATAACCTCCATACTCCCATACCTAGTGGCTTGGTGGTAGGCATAATGGACCTTCAAAGGTACCCTCCCTGCAAAACCTGACATTTGTGGATATGTTACAGTACATAGCAAAGTGCCTTTCAAAAGTAAATAAGATTATGAACTTTAATAGGTAGAGATTATTGTGGATTATCTGGATAAACTCCATTTAACCACAAATGAAACTTCACCTGAGATCAGTTGCCTCACAAGACAATGCTTGCTCTTCCCAAGCTCTGCACCCAGCTTCCTCTCTTGGTTCTAGACCACAATTTGTGTCAAGTGAAAGGATAGTTCAAGAGAGAAGGCACTCTCTGATTATGGAATAAAGAATTATTATGCTTTTTAATTTGCAGGATTTTGCTGATATGCATAGATAAGAATATGCCATGGTCAGATGTTAAGGATGCTACCCCAAGTTGTTAAAATATGCACCTGAATAGAGTATTCTTTATTGATAGGGAAGACTCTCTGATGAATGACCTCAATCCTTGGAAAGAAAACCTAAGGCCAATCTTAACATGCTGCTTAATTGATCTCTGTAGATTGGAAACAACCTGTCCTACAATAAATGAAGTTGAGCTGCCAGAACTACCTTGGCAGAGTTAGGGGTCAAAATTTCAAAACAGCCACTTGAAAAGTTCAAAATATTGTTGAAAACCTTAACAATATATTTTTTCTATAGACTGATGTTGGTCATTGGAGGCTTTATTATGGAGCTGGTTTCCCTTATGTCATTGGATTATTAGATTGTATAATAACAAAGGCTAATGGCAGCATTTTACCATGTAATGTAATTAGCACAGATGCAATTAGCATAATGGGAAGTGAGGTATAGATGACAGCTAAGGGTCTTGACCTGCACGGGTTTATACTTGTGGCTCAGATAGATCTGGCCACTCAATGATATTGTTTAATGTATATAACCAAAAATTAAGAGCACAGGATTGGTGCCAGTTACTCTAAGTGGAAAACTTACAATTCATTGCCAATTTCCAGATCTAAGCCAATCTCAGAGCTACAGCTATTTGTCCGAATAGAGCATGAGATCCTATAATGCTCCAGCAAGGATAACTAGCTATTTATTCAGTAATTTGCCCCAAAGTGGCCCACAGCTATTTACTAAAGTAGCTTTACACTGTGGAACAGTGAATACCCAGGTCATCACAGGATACAAAATCACAGTATATACATCAGAAGGCCCAGAATACCATTGTATTTATAATAGCGGTGCAAGGAATCCAGGCAATTCCTGGAATTCCTGCAAAAAATCCGACAAGGGTCAGGTGGATCTATCATCTTAACTCATTTTCATTCCAGGAGTCCTTTAGTGACACACTAGGGTGGATCTATTTGGAAGTTGACAGGTGCTCACATTGGTTCTCTAACTTGTACAGTAAGAGCTCTAAAGACAGGAAAGGACAAATGGAAACACCTGAAATTACCAGAATAGAAATTAAGGACTAATATGTAGTTGATGAAGAAATTAGAAAGTAATCTCAACTATGTGAAAGTTAAATGAAATGATAACCAAGACATTAAAAATATATTGTATGAAGAACCTATACTAACAGTGATGACATCACAGACCTCCAAAGGTCATCATGGTTGGCACCGATTCTGTATCCATGGTCTCATCAATGTAGGTGCTTTGTAGAATAAAGAAATAAGCCACCACTAACACTACTAAAAGAAAAAAAAATACATTAATACACATTAAGCGTATTTGATTATGCTTGTTATACTTATAATAGAAATCTTTGATAAATGATTCACTAACAACACAATTGAGGAAAGTTTATATTTTTCCTAGAAATTTCCTTTTTAAAAAACATCCCCTGAAAATACATTTTCATGCTAGTGATTTATGAGTAAGTTTCTAAATATTTTAGCCAGTAAATTTTACTGATCAACTGCTAATTTAGATGTTGTTTTCTTAGTTCTTAATGGGTAGCCTAGAAATAGTAAACAAAGTAAAGCTTCATTGCATATAATTAGTAAATTGAACATGGAGTTTTGAATTGAAACAAGTTTTTGAGTGGTTCCACTGGAGTAATAGCTTCCTCTTTTGAAATTTTAGGAATGTCAATTTAAAAAGTGCTGCAATTTTAAGACTTGTAAGCTGAAAGGTTCAGTAAAATGTGGCTCTGGACCATGTTGTACATCCAAATGTGAGGTAAGTTGCTGACATTCCTGAAGAGGAAGTTGATTTTCAATAATAGAAGGCTGTGTTAACTGAATCAATATGAAATTTATAAAAAGCATATAGAATTAATTGAGTGAAATAATATATAAATTGCATAAAAAAATAAGTATATAAGGAAAATTGGTATGAAATAAAGAAGACATCTCCGATTGGTACTGATTATTCTGTAGTGTTGAAACCACAAAGCTTACCATCTTCTAAATTATCAAATAAAGAGGACAAAGAAAATATATATATTACTATATCAAAAATATTGATGCTTAAATAAATCATAAAGTGAAATGAATAAATGACTAATTATGAAGAAATTATAACATTAAAAATAGGCACAATGTCTAATATGCAAAACTCACATATAGGAACCATGGTTATTATATTGGAATAATTATATAAATTATTCCTTAATGTAAAAAAGTTAGTAAATGTGGGTTATTAATTTAAGTTATCTCAATACAATAAGTTTGGATAGGAAAGCAAGTTCCCCAATACAAAATATTTTATGATTTCAGTTCTGGTCAATCACTTAGACTTAAATATTAAGTATATTCTTTCTTCCCATTTTTTTCTATTAAGATCTAACTTAGTGCTGCAAAGTTCTGTTGGTGAGGATTTCTGAGTGTTATAAGTGATAACATCACAGCCAAGGCTAGGTTATTTTGTCATGCCCTCACAAGTCCCCCCTTACTTCTTTGCTATCAATCCATATTTCACCCACAGCTCCTAGTACCCACCAGTCGTTTTCTGCCTTTATAATTTTGCTTTGATACAAATTTCACATAAATTAAATCATACAATATGTGTAAACATATGAATTAGGCATTTTAGCACAATTGTTTTGAGATTCATTCTTATGCAGGTTTTATTGGTTCATTCATTTTGTTCCTGAATAGTATTGAAAGGAGTAGAATGACATACCATAGTTTATTATTCATTCCCCAGTTGAGGAATATTTGGGTCATTTTCAGTTTAGGGAAATAAAAAATGTACCTACTACAAATAGTAGATTGTATATGAGCATAGTGTGCCATTTCTTTTAACTGGACACTTTGAAGTAGGATTGCTGAACCATAAAGTAAATGCATATGAAACTGTGCTACTTTGAATTCCAACCAGCACCTTTTAAAATTTACAGTGTATATAATAAAATAACAGTGTATATAATGCTTTACAAATTAAATATAAATTCTAAAACTATACAACTACTAGTTTTATTTTATCTTCTCTATTGGTTTGCTGTTTATACATCTTAAAAATAATTTCACTGGTTGCTCCAAAATTTACAAGATTTGATTAATCAGAGACTAATTTCATATAACCTACCACTTCCTGTGTAATAAATTGATCTTATAAAAGAAAAATTCATGCTTACTCCAAACACAAAATCTGTTGTCACTATTTTTGCTTTAGTTAGCCTTTTATATTTTAGAGCAAGTGAAAAAAGAAAAATGAAGATTTATAATTAATACAATTTATTCAATTTCCAGCTCTTATTTCCTTTGTCTGTTTAGGTTTATATTTCTTGTCCTAAAAACCTTTCCTTAATATTTTTTTGTAATGTGGGTCTGCTGAAAACAAATTCTCTAATTTGTTTGTATAGAAGATTCTTATTTCTGATTCAATTTTCCTTTCCATGACTTTTAAGATGCCACTTCATTTATTTCTCACTTTTGCTTTATTAAATAAGCAATTGTATCAACATGGATTTTACTGTCTGGGTATATGTGTCGAGCAGAGAGAGAAGAGAAAGAAAGAAGGGAAACAGCATTTGGATGTGGTGGACTTTGCTATGAAATGCAAAGGATAACCAATTTTTTTTTCAGCAAGTCACAAACATTTAGTACTAAACACACTCTGAGCTATGCAGGGAGACCTTTATGCTCTCTGGTAATGATAAATATAATGATGGTGGTTTGATCAGTATTATATACACTGTTTTCAAGTATTATAAGCATTCTAAGCATTTTTCCATTAAGTCAATTTAATACCCATAAGAGCTCTATGAAATTATGATTATTATCCTAAATTTACAAATGTAAAATGAGATACCATATGTTGCATTCACACAAACAACCTAATACAAGTCAAAGCCAGGGACTAAAGCTAGATTGACTGGCTTCTTGATCTCTCTAAGAACAAAAAAGTAGTGGTAATGTTCCTTCAATTTTAAGAAACATTTGACCAGTTTGACCAGACTGTTTAATTTCCCTTTAAATGCTGGTTGCATCAAACTGCCTCACACTGAAGGAAACCACACAGGTGGGAAGTTGTAAGCCTGATGTCAGAGGGACCTTTGAGATAGTTACTCTTTCCTGGACTTCTCCATGCCTGTTGTACCTTATTTTTCCTTGGGAGGGAGAACTCTTAGCCTCAGGAATTCTGTCATTCCCTCAATTATCAATAACCAGCCATGTTTTTTTAAATTTAGTTTTAGTTGCAGTTGGACCTGATACCTTTATTTTATTTATTTTTATGTGGTGCTGAGGACCTGGAACATTTTTGTATGGATTTTATGTGGTGCTGAGGACCCAGGTCTTCGAAAGTGCTAGGCGAGCACTCTAGCGCTGAGCCACAACCCCAGCCCTGACCGGGCATGTTTTATTTGATAAATCTGTTCAGTAATTAATTAAGGAATTCACAGAACATAATTTTCTTTTTCATTTTCCTCCAGTTTTCAGTAGCAGGAACTCCGTGTAGAAAGAGTACTGACCAGGAGTGTGATTTTACAGAATACTGCAATGGAACTTCCAGCCATTGTGTTCCTGACACTTATGCACTGAATGGATACTTGTGCAAGTTTGGAACTGCATATTGTTATAATGGACAATGCCGAACTACTGATAACCAGTGTGCCAAGATATTTGGAAAAGGTACTGTTCTTTCATATTTCTTTTACCTTAAATTTGGATCCTTCTGTAGGTTTCAAAATGTACCACACAACTCTAGAAGTGGATAACTAACTCAGTGAGGATGAAATTCAAACTAAGAAAGTAAAGTAGTATAGTACTTCTTGAGATTTTCCCAAGATAGTGTTGTGTCTTCCTTTTCTCATAGCTTGATATTTTGGTTTTGATAGTTGGCTACCTGGCGAAAACTCTTATTATATTTAAAGCTCATAATTTATATAAAGATTCGAATGGCAAATCAGTAGATTCTGAAATTTTAATTACTTTCCTTTTATTCCCCACATTCATGATCTAATTTAAATGGCACGAAACTTACAAAGATCAGAGTGAATTTCATTCCTCACTGAAGAGCAACTGCTAGGATAATAGTAGTTGCAGACCATTTGATCAAAACTCCATGTTCATAGTTTGCTTTTCAGATATCTTTTAAGTGTAATTCATAAAAGATTCATGCATATATGCTTACTTTTTGGTGAGTAATTATTCAAAGTACTCAGTATGATTTTGTGTTTTTAGAGGGATTAAGATAATTTGAATACATCAAAATTACCCAATGAAATATATTCAAATATAATTATTTACTAGTTGACTAAAGGTTAAATAACACCTAGTTTTAATTATTTGTCAAGACAAGGAGTATAGTTTGTACTAAATGGTATGCGTGTGGTCCGTGTTGGCTAATTATTTGAAATTGTCTTAAATAACTCAGGTTAGGTGACTTAACCAAATTCAACCAGATCTGAGTTTTAATTTTTAAATCACCTGTCCATGCTGTTTTTTTCTATGCTGTTTTTTAATGCTACATTTTTGTATGGGTTTGCATATGTTTTTTTTTTTTTCATTTTTGTTTATTTTTTAATATTATTTTTTATTATCAGAATAACTTTACATCATGATATAACACAGCTCTTAAAAATAAAATCAGATAATATTTCTTGTAAGGAAAATCTAGGATATACTCTCTTTTGTTAAAACTAAAAATTAAAACCTTGTACTCATTGGATAACCTGATATTTTATGTCTGTTTGAGTTCTAATTGAAACATTTAGGAGAGTTTACAAATCATGTGTTTCTTCCTCTAATAATACAAGCTCTAGTATCTTCACAAAATGGACATACAAGGTTCAAAAAAAATCTCACTTTTTGATATAATTTGTTCATTCATTTATTCATTCATTCACTTGGGCTCTTATCTAATGCAGGCATTTTTTTTTCTTATGTTACCAAAAACCATAGAGCCAAAGACTGTTCTGAGACTGCTTATGTGAGATGTGCAGAGTAGCAAATAGTTAGCATTAACTTAAAATTGCTTAGTGAAAGAGAATATGCTAGCTGGCCCAATGGAAATGCATGACTGAAAAAATATCTGCAAGGACAGTGGAATTTGATAGTAATTAGTAAGCACTAATAGGTCTAGGAAAAGATAAGAAAAACATGTGTATTTCAAAGCAAAGTGTGATTTCAGAAGGTCTACCTGCAAACATATAATGACTCTTTCATCACTTAAAAAATGAGGTTCTAAAGAACTAAAGAGTTGATTATCAATTTGAAGCAACTCTAAAAAAGGTTAAGTTCTTTATTAGGTCTGTTTTCTCTTTGTTAGTGTTAAAGTTTTTGTTAGGTCTGTTTTCTCAGTGTTAAATTTCTGTCTGGAGAAAAAGATGGACTTGTATTTGGGATGGGGATGGTTGAAAACATGGCTCCCCAAATCCTGAGTTTCTAGGCTTCTATGAAACATCTGACCCTATGGAATGGTCCATCTCTGTTCCCTCCTTCTCTGTCTCTCAATTTAGCATGGCATAAGTATGATCCCCTTGGATAAAGAAACATTTATTGTTTAGGAAGCACTCTTGCAAAATCTAGGATTTACCGTCCTGGCAAAGATGCTAGACAATAGTAAAAACTTTTTAATAGTATGGCTTCCAGACCATGAATCCTTATTCTAAACTGAAATTTAAGTTCCAGAATTTCCATAACAGATTATGGAGAAAAAATGAAAATTCTCAGTAAAGTGTATTGTCTATACTGGGTGTATAAGGCCAAATATTTGGTCCAACAGGAAACCCCAAAACCATAGAAAGTGCTATGAGAGGGATACCAAACTCAGCAGTGCTTAACTTTCAGGAACCAAAAGGATGAACTCAATATAATTAGTGATAGGGTTGGAGTAGCAGACATGAGTAACTACTGAGAGTAAGGAAGTGATAGAATATGACTTCTCTTGTTCTGTCAGCAGACCAAAAGAATATAACTAAATTTGTACCATCAAAAAAAATTTGATGAACTTTGTAACCTCAATAAATGTCATAATGACATGTCCAAATTCTGAATCTAAACCAGTTTTTAGAACCAAAACATACTGACAGAAGCTAAGACCCCAGAAGAAAATCCCCACTGTACCTTGGTAAACACACATTCACAGTTCTCCTACCATGTTCCTACAACTATTTAACTAGGTATCTATACACTGGGGAAAAGAAAATGCCCAAGCATTTTTAAAACTGACATAAACAGTCTGAATTGTCATGGATACCCATAAGGTAGATTTGGACATCCCCAAAACCGTTTCATTGATTAATGATTTTATATAATAAGGCTCAACAAAGTTTAGCAAGCATGCTAGAAGGTCTGTGTTAAATACATGTGCTACAGTGAACAGGAGGTAGATACCAAAACTTTTCAGGGTTTGTCAACAACAGGAAACTTTTTAGGAACCCTGTGGTTAGACATGATCTGTTATTCCCACAAAGTAAAAGACAAACTACCATATCTTGTACCTCATATTATAAGGAAAAAATTGCAATCCATGGTAACTTCTCTCGAGTCTGGAAGCAGTATCATTCACATGAGTAACAAACTGCTCAGTTCCACTCATTGGATGGCATACAATTTGCTAATTTTGAGTAAAATCAACAGGCTGGTCCTGGACAGCAGCATGTCCACGCTGTGCTGCAAGCAGACCTGATTTTTGGAGATAAATCACAGCAGACCCAATAATATTAGAAGTGTTAGGTTATGAGGAAAAAAAGTCACATATAGCCTGTAACAAGCCTCTTTAGAAATATGGTAGTTCATGTTCTAGTGTTCTTAGAGCAAGGCTGCTATCTGAACAGAAATATATCACTTCTCTGCGTGATGCTAGTTCTTACAATGATGGAAAATCTGACTTGAGGACACCAACTGATGACCATATGCATTATAAGCTCACTTATGTCAGAAACACCAAGTTATGTGGTTAGATAGAGGAGTCATTCCTCTGGGTTCCAGTCTGCTTAAAAAAAAGAAAATCACAGAAGAAACATCCATGATCAGGAAACATCCAAGATCAGGAAATTTAGAGCAGTGTGTCTTTCTCCCCTCCTACAGCTTTTCTTTTCTCTCATCTCACAACTATGAATCCCTGGGGTGTCATCATGACCAGCTGACACAGGAAGAACAAGCCCAGACTTGTTTCTTAGATGGGTTGGCTAGATAACTGGTTGTAAGGCAAGGAAAAAAAAACAGTAACTGCTTTGCAACCTCACTTGGGAGTGGTCTTGAAATATTCTGACCACCTGGTCATGCTCCTTCTATAGAAAGATGTATGGCTGGTCATTGGACTACAGATGTTTTTATAGGTAGCGACAAAGGGCTCAGTTTCTTGGTGGGGAAACTGAATGTGAAAAGATTGGAAGATTAGAAATAAAAGTTCTAGGGTAGAAATACATGGGTAGACAACTTAAAGTGGGGGTGCAATGTGAAGATCAGCATTTGAATTCATTAGGTGAACACCCATTGGAAAGACACAAAGCACATAGAGATGTAATGACTCAGCCACAGATGAGACAGAATATCAACAAAAGATGAGCCACATCATCGCCTGCAGCACAGATGCATTCCTGGATTTTTCTCTATTACTTTTCCTTTTTGGTTTTGAAAGGCTGATATTTTTCTGCAGGAGGCTTGTCTCTTTCTTGAGTACTTGCCTCACCTGGTCAAAGGCAGCCAAGAGTAACCAAGACACACCCTCTGTTTTCTTGCCTCTGGGCCTAAGGCAACACATCTATCAGTGCCACTGTCTTTAAATGATTGAGAAGAGTTTCTCCAAATGTGGCAACAGCACAGAGCATGAGCTACTCACTTTTGAGCTTCTTATAGTAGTTTTCTAATCACCCATCACTAGGCTTCACTGCCAGGGCCACATTTGTTAGCCATATTTGATAGTGGTTTGAATTCATTAGGTAAATACCACTTCTAGGTTTCTGTTCCTGTGTTTAACAAAATGGAATAACTCTCAAATCTCCAAAATTTAATATTCCATGTTATTTTCACTATGATACCCAATTTGAAAGATGAGTTTTAAAATACCACTGATCCCCCATAAGAGAGGGGAAAAAAAAACCCATAATATGACAAAGTATATGCCAATTCCAAAGATTTCTGTCCCCAAATGACATGCTTTAAGATTCTCAACAGATTAAGAAGAGCAAGTTACAAGGTTACAACTAATAACTTTTGGACTAGGATGTAGTTGCTCCCATAGGGAGAAACAGTAGTTGTTTTTTAAAATGATTCAACTTGCCTCAGTAGACATAATCCTTTTCTGTTTTGTTAGATATGAGTATTATTTCTTTCAACTTTTATTGACAAGGTGCATATGAAAACCAAAATTGATCAAATACATGATTATTTTGAAATAAGAGTTTCATTAGTTCATTACTGGCAAATATTTAACTGGATTAAGGATGATAATGCAGTTGACATGTTTGCTATAGGTGCTCAAGGAGGTCCCTACACCTGCTTTAAAGAAGTTAATTCTCCTATTGAGAGATCTGGAAACTGTGGTTTTAAAAATTCTCAACCATTACCTTGTGAACAGAAGTACGTATATAGAAGGGGGATTATTTATTTAAGTCATAAAAATTACATATTTCTTGTCAAGAGACACCAAATAATAATAACAAACAATAAATGAATAACAGGACAATGTTTTCAAATTGCAGTATATATATATTTTTTCTTCTATGCCTTAAGAGTTTTCCTTTTCCTTACTTTTTTTGTTGACACCATCCTAAGAATGAGACTGAATGAAAAGAAGGCTTATGCTTATTACCAGAGGAAGGAAAGATGCACAAATTTTCAAAATTTAAGTCTCCTGCTCTGTAATTGAAATTGAGTTTAGATTAGGTGTATCAATGACAATAATCCTAAAGCAATTTTTTAAAGACAGGGTTGTTGAAAGGAAGAAAACAGTTTTAATTATTTCCAAGAAAAAGCATAGAATTACTTTTTAATATGTTAACATGGCAATTGGAGCTGCTAAAAGCCACATGAGAAAGTGATTAATGAAATCCAATAAAGAAAGTTCTTACCCTTCAACAAACAAATGCTTCCTTAATTTCATTGGGTATTGATAATAAAGCGAACACACACACACACACACACACACACACACACACACACACACTAATAACCAAACCAGAGTCAAAAAAATAAAGAATAAGGAAGATTATAGAAAACCCCTCAGATAGATCAAGTAATTCAGGAAGAGCAGAGCTTTCTTTTATTTTTCAATGAATTGCCTGGGGAAAAAAAAACTGTAAAATTCTTAGGTAATCATCACAGTTCAGTTCAAACAACCTTGGCTCCTTTCGAAGGTGTCTATTTGAGTGAGTCTAAGACAATATTCTCCTCTAGGCTCCTCCATCCATTAATCATCTATACATCATGTATGGCACAAAGAAGATATAAAATTTCCCCCACTACCCAACACAAGAGGACTAGTGGATGGAAATGAGATGTGGAATCAAAAAGATGAGTGGGAACAACATGAGTAAACCCTGTATAATAACTAAAAGACAAGGTATAATCAGCTACACCTTGTTAGATACTGATATTGAGCTCCAGTGACTAAGCACAGTAAGATATACCATAGTGGATCCCAATAAAAAGAGAAGGTGTGATAAATAATCTCTCTCCAAGATGGCCAGAAATTTGTTGCCTTTGGTCTAACAGTACTGTGTTAGTTAGCTTTTCATCATCATGACCAAAATACCCAACAAGAACAACTTAGAGGAGGAAAGGTTTATCTGGTTCGATTAGCCAACTCCATTGCTCTGGGTCACAGATGAGACAGAATATCATGGCAGAAGGGTGTGACAGAGGAAATCTGCTCAACTCATGGCAGTCAGAAGCATAAAGAGAGTGAGAGAGGAGCCAGGGATAAGATATAGCCCAACATTATGCCCCACCCACAACCTACTTACTTCAGCTATGCCCCAGCTGCCTACAGTACTACTCCATAGTTCTTTCAGATTGTTAATCCACCAAATGGATTAATTCACAGATGAGGTTATAGCTCTCATAATCTAATCTTTTTAACATCTGTATATGCCTGCACATATATATCAGGGGGCTCAGGATGTACAGAAACTTATTTTCTAGAAAGCATGACAGGGACCATAGGCATATCAGAAGATACAGAAAGAGTAAATACAATTAGCTACTCTCAGCAATTTTAGGTAAAAAGTCACCAGATTGGCCAGCCTATATCAAAAGGGATACAAGTGATGAATTCTCCTAAAGAATATGGTAAATTATGATGAATGCTCCTAAGATAACTGGAAAATAGAGAAAAATAATACTTTTTGAGCTGTATAATCAAAAAAGAAAATCATGTATTTATATCTAATTTCAGTATGTACATTTCAATTCTGCTACAATGCTGGTTAATCTGGTTGCATTTACTTGTTTCTAAAATGTGTTTTACCTTTATAAAAATATAAAACATGTTTCCATTTTGTTTTTTTTATGGTTTTGTGCCATTGGCTAAACAATATTTATGTTTTTATTCATGCAATATTCAATTGGAAGTTGGTATCATTAAAAACTAAAATAATAAGGAAATTCTGTTTTTCATTCCAGGGATATTCTCTGTGGAAAATTAACTTGTGTTTGGCCACATAAAAATACTTATAAAACTGCTGCTCAATATACAGTTTATTCATATATTCATGATCATGTGTGTCTATCCATAATTCCTGGGTCGTCTTTGAGTTCAGATGGAAGAGATAATGCTTATGTGGCTGATGGCACTGTGTGTGGACCACAAATGGTAACAAAATGTGATAATTTATCCATAGTTTTATGAAATCTTCTTAATTATCACCTATCACATTTCATGATGCTAGCATAATTATACTGAATGGATTTCAACCTGGTGCTTACATTAATTTCCCATATAATATAAAGAAGGACAAAGTCTCAGTTATCTAATAATGTTGCTCTTTGTATGAACCTGTTATCAGCTTTTAAGTGAAAAAAGAACATATGTGTTCTAAACATGAGATTATAGTAACTGCCAGATGATGTTTTTTGAGCCTTCAAATACTAGCTTTAAAATTCTAGTTCTGAATTTTTGCTTTATACAGAACCATAATCAATCTTTCATATTTCTTAGGTCATCTACTTATATATCTGATCAAAGCACTTAGTGTCAGTATTTCAACCTCACCATTTTCCTTGTCCTACCGTGTTAGCTAGTGTTTGTAGAACAATAACAATGATAAATGCAATGATAGTTAAAAAAATGTCAGAAGTCTGGAAGAACCCAACAAGAAAACCATTTCTCTGTTTCTGTAGCAGGAATAATAGTAATAGTACATATACATGCTCATGTACATATGCATGTGAGTGTATATTTATGTGAGAATTATATGCTTGTAGTCATACCATAAAGGACAGAAGTTGTACAAAGACTTAGTCAGTCTGTAGATATGAAGGACATATTCCTGAAAAAATAATATGACATTTGAGATATAAAGCAACAATTATAAATCAGTATGTTACATGTAAATGGCATTTAGCACTTACTTGCTGGATAAAAATAAAGCAAAACCTGCAAATGGTGGATCAAACAGAAACCAACTCTTAAATGTAATATCAGCAATCCTGGTCCCTTAAGAAGTTTGCTTGTCCTGGTGTCCTGTAAGATGGCTCCCAATGATCCCACTTCCTGGTATCCACTGCTTTGTGTAATCCACTCCCTTTGTGTGTGGGTTACATCTAAAGCCTTGCTTCTAACAAACAGAATAAATAAGGCAAAAGTTATGGGATGTCATTGGATTAGGTCAGAAAAGACAGTGGTTTCTGTTTTGCATGGATGCTCACTGCCGCCTTCTCACTTTGTGCAGCATGGTGTCCTCAGGGAAAAGCCCACAAGGAAAGCAACTGGGGTCCAGAAAGAATCTGAGGGCCTCAGTCAAGCAATCCATGGGGAGCTTAATTCTGCCAATAACCACATACACAAGCTGTGAAGAAGATCTTTCAGATCAAGACTTCATAGGAGACAGCAACCCCAGATGCTACCTTGAGCATAGCTTTATGGGGGACTGGGAGACTGGGAAACCAGTCTCTGAGAACAATAAGATGTTCTCAGATTTCTGCCCTACAGAAACTATGATATGATAAATATGTGTTGTTTAATGTCATTAATTGTAGGGAAAATTTGTTATGCAGCAATAGATAATGTAGATTTTGGTACCTGAAGTATGGTGCTGCTATAACAAATACCTAAAAATGGGGATGTGAACATAGAACCAGGAAGTGGTAAGGGTTTGGAGGCATTTGGAAAATCTTAATGAAGGAAGCTGCCTGAAACAAATCATGAGTATCCCTCTTGCCTTTGAGAGCCATGTTAGTGAGAGGTCAAGAAATAGTGAGATATATGTCATTGAAAACTGAAGGAATTTTGATTGGAATTGCATTAAATTTACAAAGTGCTTTTGGAAGTATGGTCATTTTGATAATATTAAGAATAGTTCTTTGATTTAAAGGTAGAGAGCTAAGCACTTTGTACCTAATGGGAAGAAAGAAATTGAGAGAATAATTATTAAATAAAAAGTATTATGGCTTTAGGATTTTGAAAATAATCAACCTCTCCAGACATAAAACTGCTTAATTAAGAAATTATTCCAAAGACTATTAGGAAAATGTGGCCCAGAGGCAAAGCAAAGAGAAAAAGAATTTTGCAAACATTAGTCATGAGTTCAAATAGAGCAAAGAATCAGGGCACATTTAATTATCTAAAATTCCATTTAAAACAAGCACATGTCTCACAGATCCACTTTAAGAAAAACGTATAAAAAAATATGTTCTGTAAAATCATCAGGGCTTTGATCTGCAGCCAGCTCAGCAAAAGCTCAAGGTAGCAAGGGGCTTATTTTCAAGATATTTGTGAATGTGGGTATTGTCAAATGTAATTAACCACAGTAATCTTCATAGGAAGTCCACTATTTTCGAAAAACATTAGTAGGCACATTGCCAGCAATGATGAACAGCACAAACAGAATAAAAATGAAAAGTGGCTATTGGACCCCCCCACTTCTCATGAATTAGTAAGAAGTAGGTGGATTAGTCTCTGTGTCATCTATTCTGTACCATTGGTCTACCAGTCTGTTTTGGTGACAATACCATGCTAGTTTTGTTACTATTGCTCTGTAGTATAGTTTAAGTTCTGGTATAGTGATGCCTCCTGCTTTACTCTTCCTGCTAAGGATTGCTTTAGCTGTTCTGGGTCTCTTATTTTTCCAGATAAATTTCATGATTGCTTTTTCTATATCTATGAGGAATGTCATTGGAATTTTGATTGGATTTGCATTAAATCTACATAGTGCTTTTTGGAAGTATGGTCATTTTGATAATATTAATTCTGCCTATCCAAGAGCAAGGTAGATCTTCCCATCTTCTTTGATTACTTTCTTTAGGGTTCTGTAATTTTCATTATATAGCTCTTTCACTTTTTTCATTAAGTTGATTCCCAAGTTTTTTTTGAGGCTATTGTAAATGGGGTATTTTTCCTCATTTTATTTTCTGAGGACTTGTCACTGATATACCGAAATGCAATTGATTTATGGGTGTTGATTTTTATATCTTGCTACTTTGCTGAATTCATTTACTAGTTTTAGAAGTTTTCTGGTGGAACTTTTAGGGTCTTCTAGATATAGAATCATATCATCAGCAAATAGTACAAATTTGAGTTCTTCTTTTCCTATGTGTATCTCTTTCTTTTGTCTCTTTAATTTCTCTGGCCAGTGTTTCAAGAACTATGTTAAATAAAAGTGGTGAAAGAAGGCATCCTTGTCTTGTTCCAGTTTTTAGAGGGAATGCCTTCAATTTTTCTCCATTTAGAATGATGTTTGCCTGGGGCTTAAGACACAGAGAATAACCCACAAAATTATAATTTTCTTATATTAGACAAAAGCGCCAAAAACATGCATTGGAGAAAAGATAGCCTCTTCAACAACTCGTGCTGGGAAAACTGGAAATCCATATGCAACAAAATGACATTAAACCCCTATCTCTCACTATGCATAAAACTCAAGTCAGAATGGATCGGGGACCTAGGAATAAAACCAGAGACTTTGCATCTAATAGAAGAAAAAGTAGGCCCTAATCTCCATCATGTAGGATTAGGCCCCAACTTCCTTAATAAGACTCCTTTGGCGCAAGAATTAAAATAAAGAATCAATAAATGGCATGGACTCTCAGCAAAAGAAACAATCTGTGAGGTGAATAGATAACCTACTTCTTGAGTTCTAATTTTTACCCCTCACACATAAGATAGAGCACTAATCTCTAGGGTATATAAAGAACTCAAAATGCTGAGCACCAAAAAAAAAAAAAAACAAAAAAAAAAACTCAATCAATAAATGGGCAAATGACCTGAACAGACACTTCTCAGAAGGTGATATACAATCATTCAACAAATATATGAAAAAATATTCATCATTGCTAGCAATTAGAGAAATGCAAATCAAAACTACACTAAAATTTCATCTCACTCCAGTCAGAATGGCAACTATTATGAATACAAACAACAATAAGTATTGGCAAGGACGTGGGGAAAAAGATATACTCACACAGTGCTTATGGGACTGCAAATTGATGCAGCCAATATGGAAAGCAGTATAGAGATTTCTTGGAAAATTGGGAATGGAACCACCATTTGACCCAGCTATCCCTCTCCCCTGTCTATACCCAAAGGAATTAAAAACAGCATACTACAGGGACATGGCCACATCAATGTTTATAGCATCACAATTTATAATAGCTAAACTATGGAACCAACATAGAAGCCCTTCAATAGATGAATGGATATAAACAATGTGGCATATATACACAATGTAATATTACCCAGCAATAAAAGAGAATAAAATCATGGCATTTACAGGTAAATAAGTGGAATTAGAGAAGATAATGCTAAGTGAAGTTAGCCAATCCCCCCCAAAAAAATGCCAAATGTTTTCTCTGATATAAGGAGGTTGATTTATCGTGGGGTAGGGAGGGGGAGCATGGAAGGAATAGATGAACTCTAGATATGGCAGAGGGGTGGTAGAGGAATGGAGGGGATATGGGGTTAGAAATGATGGTGGAATGTAATTGACATCATTACCTTAAGTACATGTATGAAGGCATGAATTGGTGTGAATATACTTTGTATACAACCAGAGATATGAACAATTGTGCTCTATATGTATAATAAGAATTTTAATGCATTCTGCTGTCATATATACATAAAAATGTTAATAAAAAAGAAGTAGGTGGAAAATGTGCAGCTGCGAACATGCAATCTTTTATGAAAAATAATGAAATAGTGTGAATGTCAGGGAAGAACTTAGAAAGTGTTCAGATGGGACTTGGACCCTAGGAAACAGATTCAGAATTCTGACAGGTGGAGAAAGATGTAAATTTCAGTTGGGATAGTAGATATCTTTATTCCAAGGCAGCAGAACTCCCCCAGGCCCTAGGTTCAACCTCTAGCCAGCCAGTCCTAGTCATTTCCGTAAGTCTTTTTTATATGCAGACCAGACAAAGAAGGCACATTGCCAACAGGGTACATAAGTGAGTACATGCTCACAAGCAAATGTTTATTACCCTGAGTACATACACTGAATCAAGGGGTTTATGACTTTACTAAAAATCACAGCCTGCCCTTCATAGGGCATATTCAAAATCCAAGAAAGATTATTATTCACAGACCCTGAATCCTAATCAAGGAACTCCCAACATGGGACATGTGATTTCAGAACTGCTATGTATCAGTTTTTCCTTTTT